CTGTGTCCACTTTGACAGCTATCACTCCCACTGCTCCAGCTCTAAAAACCCACCTTATTTTATATGACGTACATACATATTTCCACATAAACTCGTAATTCAACACAAACAAATAATGTGTGCAATTGTTTCTGGACATATTTGCATGTTATCGGCCGCTCACTTTGTCACATGGAGCGCTCGTAAGCTGAAGCTCGTAAGCTTGGTTGGCGGCTGCTCCTCACTATTTGCTTTCATCATCGCGTTTTCACTCTTGTTTTTCTTACCTGCGTTACGGCTTGCCGTTATATTTTTGGATAACTCGATTTTCGTGCCCTGCGGCAAGGCAACTTCTTATTCATGACCAGCATGTGCAGCCGTGCAGCCGTTTCATTGGCAATGAATTGTTGTTTCGTGTCCAGTAAATTAAATTAAATTGACTAATTTGCTTTGCGAAAAGTGCGGGCAGCAGCCACGCGCCGTCACATCACTACAAATTGGTTTCTCCAATATTTCGCATTGTTTTATCGTGAATTTCAATATTTTATTATCGGTTGCGAGTTACTGTAATCCTTCTTCATGGTGCTGCCATTGGTGTAATTGATATTTTCTACTAATTGAAATTTTGCCTTTAAAGTGAGAGTCGGTAATTGGTTTCGAGTTCTTCGTGATGTTTCCTACTGCCTTTGCTGGAAAATATTAAGATCTGTGTCAGGATTTTTGCCCCTAAAAGGAAGCTCAGAAATGCATATTTGTCATTCTGTAGGAAGTTAGCGAATTATCGTCGATTAAGCTTGGTTTTCATTCGTTAATCAATAACCTCACATATCCTCACATTTCACCTGGGAGGGAAGGTTTCAAGTCAGTCGCAGTAGAACTCTCAATTCGAATTGTATTAATCGGTTAATATTATATTAATATAAAAAGTTACAAACCGGATGTTCAAATAATTGATTTTCAGGACATTCGAATAATTTTAAGAGCCCTAATATATAGCACTAACAGTTGGGACCAAAGGTCATCCACATCATTCAGAAACAAAAATGCCCATGAATCGTAGCATTTCATTTTTAAAGGAATATGGGTTTTTGATTTCTTCTGCCAACTAAGTTAAGTAAAAGATTTATGATGTGCGATCTGTTCGAGATATTTCACGCTCTTTGTATTCTTATTAACCAAACTGCGCTCAACCAACTTCTATGCTCTGCTGCAGAAATGTAACGACTGATTTTTTTTTTTTTTTTGTTTTTTTTGTTTTTTTTGTTTGTTCCATATAATTTTTTGTATAAATCACAATTAAAGAAACAAATTTTCGTGGAAAATTAATATATTTTTTCTTACTGTACTATTTTTCCTTAATCTGGCAGCAGTGTTTATAATTACGTGGCTACCAAAACACATGGAAAGGTGATCAAATATATAATAAAGTATAATTAAATATGCAAATTTTACATTGGGGAGCACTTTTTATATCAATACTTACATATCTTCTCACATATTTTTCCTTACTTTGCTTGCATCAAAGCACCACATATTCTTAAAACAATGCACCAATTAAGGAAACAAATACAACAACATCATTTTTTACAAACTAAACGACATGCAGAATACTTCTTCCGCCTTGCAGTACTCGCTTGTATGTTTGTATGTATTTATGTGTATGGTGGTTTGGCTAACAAGCCTGCCTCCCCTACATTTTTGCTATTTAAACGCCTACCGTTCAGCCGCCTCATACAAACTGCCACATTATCTCAATTGTGGAAAAATGCCAGCAAAAAACAAAACTCGAAACAGAATCAAGTCACAGCAAAAAATGCGTGTCCCTTGCACGCACATCGAACGGAACGAACACGCTTCCCGCCGCGTTGATGAATGACTGCCTTGCAATTTATATGCACAACACACACACACACATACTTACGTATATACTCTTATACACCTGTATGCGGATTGTCTTTGCACTTGTTACACCGTTGCACTTTCGCTGTTCATGCTGCCCCTTTCCGCTGTGGCACGCACGCGAATGCCACATACCCGGTTCAGCCGTCGAGCCGTCCCTACACATCCTTACATTGTTGTTAACATTGTGCGAGCGTATAGCGCATTCTTATGATTTATATCGTAAAAATTACAAAATTATGATTTATGTAGGTCAGTTCAAGGGTGTAGCAGCGCGGCACAGCGCCTGCCTGTTGCCGTTGCAATTAATTTCAAATTTCAACAAGTTGCAACTACAAATATCACCAATTAAATGGCGCTGGTGAAATGTTCGCCTAGCTAGACCCGGTAATTATGTGGTTAGATGGAATGGATGAATGTCAGGTTAGCACACATATATACATATATATACACATTCATACCAATACACACACATACGAGTCCACACATCCATAAGAGTACACTCATCCAAATGCGGTGCATCAGCCTGAGATTGGCCGTTATCATATGTGGGCTAGCCATTCAAGCATTTATGTTGTCATTCCTCCGTATCCATTCGCATGTAGATTGCAGCATCTAATAGTTTCTAGTCACGCACACGCACAATGTGGCTGCCTCGCATTTGTTGCACGTGCAAAAACTAATCGTTTTTCTTTCGTGCGCTGCACTTGCACTGTCAAAATCTCTGATTTCATTCACAAATGCCAATTAGCTGGCGAAATTGGGCTGGTGAAAGAGATAATTTCATTTTTACTGTGAAAATGCAATTGATTATAGTAATTATTGCTATTGGTTTTGTAATTTAAAATTTCACTTATTTAGGTTGTACTTATTCGTACTCTGCGTGCAAAAAAATACGCTTGGTAATATTGTAATTCACGATGTTCTGGATATTTGGGTCACATTTTTGTTAATAATTGAACTAAAATTAGTAAGAAGTAAAAGCCTAAAACCTACATATCTATTTAGTTTAGTGTCCAAAACGATATACTACAATTATTTTAATTTATTCAAAAAAAATAACAGATGGCAACTCTGCCTTGTTTAATTGTGGGGTTAAACATATAACGATTATTTGAAACCGGCGGCAACCTTTTCCAAAATATTTTTCCATAAGCTTTTTATTTAAATGTTGAGTTAGCTAATTTAATTATTATTATATTTGGAACAGGTGGCAATCCCTCTTAAATATATTTTCATCTGAAAGGCTTCCTCAAGTTCTTCAGCTTAATTTTGGTTTAATAAATTTAATAATTGCTTTGAGACAGCTGGCAACATTTCTTAAAAATTTTCGAAATATAAGTCTTGAATATTTATTTATTTCAAAATATGTGGTAACCTTTCAAAATTTTGTTTTTGCTCTCTGGCTTAATTCGAGGTTTAAGAATTTAATGATTATTTTAAATCAGATGGAAACCCTTTTAAAAATATTTTCCCCTATAAGCCTCTCCTGTTTTGCTCAAGCTCGTTTACTGAATTTTAAGTTAATTACTTTAGTGATTAATTTGGAACAGGTGGCAACACTTGCTAAAATATTTTCAAATGTACATAACGTCTTCTTTAGACTCATTTGCAAAATTACGAGTTAGTTAATTTAATTATTATTTAGAAATAGGTGGCTACCCTTCCAAAACACATAACTAGTTTCATGAGTTCAGCTTAACCAATATCTTCTGCTTAGATTTGTGTTAGCAAAATTAATAATTATTTTGAAACAAGTGGCAACCCTACTTAAAAATGTTCTCTTATAAGCTTTATTCAACAATTTTATTTAGAAACCCATATTACTACATATTTTTTTCTTAGTTACTTAATAAATATACATTTTCAAGCAGTTGGCAACCCTTAAAAACTCTGTATTTTAAAACGGAATTTTTAAAATTGCATTACAGTACATAGTAATTACAGTATTTCTATTAATTTATTACGAAGCCTAAGAGCTTTCACTTCAGAAATTCCCCGATTTCGTTGACTCTCACAAACTTTATGGACGAGACTGCGTTAATTGACACGCTTGCTGCGTTATCTTTATTTTAATTGGAGTCCTCATATGTCAGTGTCGCTGGACCCTCCAAATTTGCTTCGGGATTATTTTATGTTCCAGCAGATGCTATTTTTTTGATTTTTTCACAATTCACAGCATTAAAATACACGAATTTTTAAATAAATAAAAATGTGTCTAAATAAGGAAGATCTTTTTTTTTTTAATTTTATACTATATAGGAATCCAGGATAGTAAAATTATATCCTCACCGGTTCTAAAATGGTTCAAAACTGATGCTATACCTAATGAAAACACATCTTATTGCCATGTTATTGGGAACTTTAAATACTCTACGACATAATTTAAAATTAAGATAAACATTTTCCTTTCAGGATAATTTGTTCGCGATTTTTTTTTAACCCATAAAGTCGATAGTTTAGTTGAAAACTTAGCCTAATAACCATAATATAACTACATATACATATAAATTACTGAATAATACACAAATTATTTTGATATTATAAACGTTTTTCTTTTATTTATTTATTTATTTATTTATTTATTAAATGAAAAATAATAATACAATTATTATCTTACGGAGTAAGAAGCACTAGCTGCCAGGGCTTACGGCTTACTGCTCTAATTATTATATACGTTTTTCTTTACAGAACTAAAATTTTCCTTAAGAACAAACAATAACAATTTTCTCCCAGCTTTTCGAAAAAATCATCGCTTAGAAAATAAATATAAATTCTTTGGAAGGAGATACATATATTACATAAATGTAAGTATTTATGCAGTTACGGCTCTACAAGGCCAAAATACAATTTTTGCTTATTTAATATATAATGACCTACATATATTTTTGTTATTTATTCGTAAATTTGTTTTTGTAAAAAATAATTATTATTTCACTCCTTGCTGTTATAACCTGTATATACCTTAGTAAAATGAAAACACATATTTTCTTTATATACATACATATACGAATATTATAATTATATTATAATTACTTACCATAATACAACTATAAATATGCACACACATACCTACGTAACAATTTTACTAATCAGTAACCGGTTCTATTTTTTAGGCAATCAGAATATCATCAAATCTCAATGCAGCTCTGTGCCTTTGTTTACATTCGCGTTGTTGTGACAAAACCGCTGCGAACAGGTGTAGCAAAAGGACGAAATATTTCGAAATAGTGAATTATTGTTTAATTTAAAATTAAATTTAAGTGTTAATTAGTGAAATTCGGACATTTAAGTGTTTTTGAGTCGATCGTGTGCCGTGATAAGTGTTTTTCGCGAGTTGGGCAAATGTTTTGTGCGCACTATCGTTTTTGCTCGGTTTGTATGGCGAAAAGTGTCGCGATCCTTGTAAAATAAAGCGTAATAATGATAAGTATAATAAGTGTGTAGTAAATATGTGAAAAAAGTGTGTGTGAGTGTAAATAATTTGTGAAAAGTGTTTTAAGTGTAGTGCATGTTGTGGAAAATTGGAAAATTTGCAGTAAATTGCGTCGTTGCAGTAAACAGTCCTCGAGTGCTCGTGTGAACACGGGCCGCTGGCTCTGCGTTATGTTCAGATGCTGCCGTGTTTCGCAAAGGTTGGTTTAATCATTTTGTTTGATTTGTTTGTATTTGTATTTTTAACTAGTGTTGAGAATGATTATGCGTTACGCCAGGTGATCACTGCATTTGTATGTACATGCCTACATGCATACATAAATACATACGCATGTATCGAGGAAGAATGTTGATATTTCTTTTAAAAATGACGCTGACGCCATAATGTCAGTCATAGATGCGATTTTTACGGCATAAAAGTTATATGGCAGCTATATGATATAGTTGTCCAATCTGAACAATTTCAACGGACATTGTATCATTGCCTTAGACAATAAACCCAAGCCAAATTTCGTAAAGTTAGCTCCTCAAATGAAAAACATTTTCATAAAAATACTTTATTCCGATCGTTAGGTTTGCATAGCAACTTTAAGATACAGTGGTCCGATATGGACCTTTCCGCCAAATTAGCAGCTTCTTAGTGATATAAAAAAAACGTGTTAAAAGTTTCAGATCGTTATCTTAAAAACTAAGGACCATTTCGTCTATATACAGACAGACGGACGGACGGTAAATGTGCTAGCCAATAGTTCAAGTGGAAATGTGACAGCAGACCGCATTGTCTCAAAGCGCCAAAAGACTGATAGCAATATAGATAAATATGTGTTGATAGTATTTTATCATTTTTATAGCGTTGACAAATTGATTAGACACGACACAATTTGGACATAACAAACGGCAAGAGAGCCAAATCCGTCTGGTTTTCGTAAAGTATCTATGTAGACAGTATTTTTAGTCATTAAATAGTAAAGAATGCCGACAGCAATTCCGAGAATGCAAACAATGTAATGCATAAAATATTGCCATTACATGTAATTTAATAGAAGGCGGGATAAATATAAAGTGATTGAGACGGCTATTAGCATATAATCGCGTTTAAGTCCCCTAATTGGTATCCAACCACGAAGTAATACCTACCTCAGCAGCGTGTATTTGTACAATATATTATCATTCTTACATGCACTCTATATATGTATGTATGTATATGCACCCCTTATAGACTTTGATTGAATTCTTATGAGTAAAATGCGTGTGCAAACTTTCAATGAACGAATTTGCCGAAGCCAACCTTAACCGGTTTCCCAACTGATTAATTACACTCATTAACTACGCAGACTCGGCGAAAAAGAGGCCGCTTACCCAGTTAATAGCATTTAATTTTCTCCAAAGCCCAAATAGAGACTAAATAAATCGACTTAAGCGGTAACATGTCACACACAAATGATTGATGACGTCAGAAATTGCAACAGCCGCACTGCCGGCGAACTAACGAAGCGGGGGCTGGACTTGGTCGCGCAGCGTCACGTGCGCAGACAACAGAAGCTTTCTACGCGCTTGCCATGACGCTGGCCAAACTAAAATGCATTTGTGGCATGCAAAAGTGCGTGCAACCAACAGCCAGTGATTAAGGCAGTATGCAGCTACGCATGACTCGCGCTACATACGTATATTTGTTGTAATTATTGTATGTCATATACAAAAGGAAAATGTGTGTGCGTGCCAGCCAGCCAATCCACCAACTGTGGCAATGAAGCGCGTGTTGCAACGTGTAACTGCAGTTAAGGTTGGGTGGTTCAACTGGCAGCAAACTGTTGATGAACCTCGGGCTTCTGTTAGTTGCTCGCTGCCGATTGTTGGCTGATGAATGTTGGCGGTCGCTACCGCTGATGATGATGATAATGATGATGGGTATGGCGGTAACAGTGGTGAAATGCCGATTTATTTACTTAAACGGACCACCAACGAAGTTCGCAGCTCAGCACCAGAGGGATTTTTGTTGAAGATCACTTCAACATTTTTGGGCTGGTGATGATAATCAGCACGAGGCGTTGGTGTTGTTGTTGGCGTCCCTGCTATGCCACTGATGGTGCGTTTTGATGGAATACGTACGAAATTAATTTTTTGGTAATATATTTTATGCCGACACATATGCATGCAACGGCCGGTGCCTTGTGGGGGAATGTGTAAGCAGGGCATATTTATTAAATGGGCGTATGTGGTTCACTGAATTTGCATGATTGTGGAACTAAGTTGCGATGTAAAGTGGTGTAATATACCCTTCACTGAGTTCTCTTAAAATTTTAGTGTGCTATAAACTATTGAAAGATTTGATGAACTAGATTAGTAAATAGGATTGCTTCTACTCTTGGACCATCTAGTGCTGGATGCTTAGTTTTTATGCATTATCTCAGCACCTTTCTAATCTTACTATCTCGTTTCTACTATGCGCTCAAACCGTTTGGTGCTCTCAATGAAACTATTATTATGATTTTTATGGACAGCCATTCAAGGTTTATTGCGTGGAAGGCTCCAAGCTTTCCGTTCCCGGTTTGTGCTAGAGCTAGGCAGTCGCAGAGAAAGTGGAAAACAGTTAACTTATTCACTTCTAGCTTGCCGCTGCGACAAAAATATTATAGGCAGAATTCTGACCGTCCTTGGCCGTAAAAATATCCGGGTCCGTTCCGGTAACGTAGACCCGACTATCGTGGGAACGGTTGACTTTTGATCTACAGATCATATTGACATCGTACGCTTTGAGAACACAGTCATCAGCGCAGCATTTTCGAGCCCAGAAAGCGAAACGAAGTGGTTGGTCTTGTGGTGAAGAGGGCGAGAAAAAGTACCTGGAGTCGTCACACAAAGACACAACAATCTAAGCCTGGTGATCTGATAAAGAAAAACTCTTACCAATAGGTGCTATTCGGGAGTCGGTTAGCAATTAAAATGCAGATTCTTCTCTCATTGCATAAAAATTACGCTCCATAAGTCTCTTATCATTCCTGTGTTATTATATGGCGCAGAAAATTAAATGATGACTATTCAAGATGAGAGAACACTTGGAGTTTTCGAGAGACTCCGCAAGGTCTTTGCAGCCGTCCGCGTTAGCCACGTGTATCGAAAAAGCTGGAACCACGAACTGTATGAGTTCTGCCGCGGCATGAATATGTTTAAGCTTATAAAAACCCTGCGTCTGCATTCAAGTTGTACAACCCAAATGCTGATAAATTCCATTGCTAAGTGCTTCGATTGCACTCTTCCTTCAGTTGGTCATCAATGAATCTGGAATCGGAAGATCCATTCACTGGAACATCGACGACATGACCTAAAATGTTGTTCGCATGAAAGGCGATGTTCCAGCGAATAGAGCCTCATTGACCTTGCAAAAGAAAATAGGAAACCTGAAAGTTTTGTATGCTCGGCCCAGACCGCATCGCAGTTGTAGTGCCAAAAAAAAGAAATTATTCCCCAGAACTCTTCGGAGACTTTTCATTCTTACTAATATAACAACAATCACAGTGGAAACTGCTTATAATCTGAAGCATTTTACCTTAAAAGGTATAATGAAACCACTAACGGGGCAGCCATTAGCAATTTACATATAGAATAATTGTGTGCTGCCGCTTTTATTATTCCAAATATTGTTAAAAACCACTTTAACGAAAATTTTTTAGATTCTCGTTGCGATAAAAGGAAAGTAGATCAACTTTCTGAGACCTTTAACTTTGACTCAAAGGCAGCGCATCTTTAATAATGGGCGGTATTGAAAAAACGCATGCGCGAACAGTGTTTGTAATGCTCTTCATATGGGAATTAAGCAATTTGTAACTGCTGGCAATTAACAAATTGTTGCAAGCCTAAGTAGGGCGCACATGCGCATGCGCAGGCAGGAAAAAGAGCTACTGCGCCGCCGACTAAAGTGTATGGAAACACCCGCCAGCAACATGCAACTGCTGCTCAGGTGCATACAAGGTAGCAAATCAAACGCAGAGCATAAAAAAGTACACCCTCGGCATGTTGCATGTTACCGATGTTGCACACGCAAGTGAACTTAACCTTATCGGCAGCGGTTTTTGTATTGCTCGTTTTGCGTTTTTGCTGCTTTCTTTGCATTTTTTTTTTTTTTTTTTGTTTGTGGCTGTAGTCGATCTTGTTATGCCGTTTGAAATTGACGGCCACTAAACATATACTCTTCATAACCAACGGTGTGTGCTAGCAGGTCGATATCATTTCTTGCCTCTCGGCGTATCTCCCTACTTAGCACCACCGTCAGAGCTACTTAGCTGCAGAAACGGTCTCCTTTTAAGCATTTACATATCCCCATTTGACTTCGCTTAGCGTTGATGCTTCTTTGGACCAGTGATTGTGTCGTAAAATTCTAAATGGCCTACTCCACCGACACCGGATTGCTGCTATTAAGGCGTCCAAACAAGCAGCAGCAAATGCCACATTCAAATGACGAAAGCCGTAGTTCTGCTTCCGCATTTCTTTGCATGTGAGGTCATTGTGCACAGTGTTTCGAGATTTTATATTTTTACTAAAAAGAAAGAAGAAGATTGAAAATTCAAATTCTTATAATTACCATCTGCTCTGGCCGTGACCGTTTTAGTGACCCGAATAGATTAGTAGTCTTCCTGGCGGAAAAGACTTCTGCCTGAAATCACTCCCGGCGCCAACCTTTTTAGCAATTTTTGATCCGTCTGTGGATATGTTGAATGCTCCGCTGGTGGATTGCGTGTCCCTACACCATCCACATTCTTTAAGCATGACTTGAAACCTTCTCAGCCAGATAAAACAGGAAGATATGATATACATATACATATGTTTATGAGTATATACCTTCAACCATGACTTAATAAAATTGGCTAGCATGTAATCACCAGGTCAAGACTACAAAACATACGGAGTCACAACCTCAAATTTTCAAAGATTGCCCATAAGTAATAAACAAATATTTTATTTATTGTAGCTGCATATATAAGCTCCACTCTTCTTAGGCCAGTTTCATTTCATTGTACCTTCTCATCGCATCTTCTAAACAGTTAAGTAAAAAAATGACAATGCTTTTCTGGTAAGCACTGCCGTGACCAGGATTCGAACCTGGGTTACTACGGCCACAACGTAGGGTCCTAACCACTAGACGATCACGGCTGTTGGAAGCTTGTCTCAAACTTCATTAGTATTCGTGTTCAGCCAACAAAAT